TCAAACATCCATTAAGAACATCTTTGATGTGTCCCAACAGAGTGAAAATGAAGATGACAACCTGTGTGTTGTTGCTCTTCGTTTTCGACTACTGAGACAACTAAGGCATTACCATGATGTTAATTCAGATGTGTTCAAGAAATTCACTAACAAAGATGGAAAGTTCAAGGAAACTCTTACCAATACTTTTGTACTATAGGTGGTGGAAAGATCTGAATTTTACCGAGCAATTTCCATATGCAAGAGATAGATTGGTGGAGTGTCACTTTTATACCGTAGGAATCTACTTTGAGCCTCAATATAGTCGTGCGAGAGAAATGATGACAAAAGTACTAACCATATACACCGTTATTGATGATACTTATGATGCTTATGCAACTTATGATGAACTTGTGCCTTTTACCGATGCAATCGATAGATGCGGGTAAGTTTTTACCGTTTAAACATAATTGATAATTTAATTCTCTATTTGATGAGTAAGAGAACATTATATGTCAATTAAGTACACGTTACTTTCTTACGAGATGATTGGTATAAAAATGTAAAAATTAGCTTGTGACTTTGGTTCAAACCCTTAACGTGCAGATGTGACATTAGTGCCATCGGTTCAGTACCACCTAGTCTGAAACCTACTTATCAAGCCCTTGCAGACCTTTATACTCAAATAGAAGAAAAATTTATCAAAGAAGGTAAATTGGACCGTCTCTACTATGCAAAATATGAGGTAAGCTCCCTTAGCTTCATTTCTTTTGAATCNGCTTAGCTTCATTTCTTTTGAATCACACCTTACCATAGCTTTCATTAATTAGTTTAATTAACTAAGTTATATGGAAGAAATGAAAAGACTAGAGAGGAAGGTGTACTTATAAAAGAAGACATGATATATATACTTACGAAGAATTGTGTGACCTTCTTGTCTAAAAGCATAAACTATACTTAGAGAAAATACATATTTTATTTAATTATGTCTTTAACACGCCCTCTTACGTGCGAGCCTGATTCTTTATCATGTGACAAGCACGCAAAAATTATTCTCGATACGGATATAAGAGCTTTGTAATGTAGAATTATGTGATCGTCTCATCTAAAAGCTTAAGATGTTAGAGATAGCACACTTTTAATTATTGACTTAATTATATCTTCAACGTTATATAGTTCTATATGTTTGTTTTATTCTCCTTTTAGATGAAAAAGTTGGCTAGAGCATTTTTCAAGGAAGCAGAATGGTTAAATGTTGGCTATATTCCAAAATGTGACGAGTATATGAAGAATGCAAATGTAACTACTACATGTATGATGGTTGCAACAACTTCCTTGAGTTTTATGGAGGAATCTATAGCCAAAGAAACTTTTGAATGGATGATAATTGAGCATTTAATCCTTCGAGCTTCATCAGCAATCAACAGATTAAAAGGCGATTGTATTGGACATAATGTAAGTACTGCACTATATTTAGTTTTCAGTTCGCACCCTTTTCTTCGAAGGGGAACCTTGGCGTAACTGGTAAAGTTACTACCATGTGACCAGGAGGTCACGGGTTTTGAGCCGTGGAAACAACCTCTTGCATAAATGTAGGGTAAGGTTGCGTACAATAGACCCTTGTGGTCCGGCCCTTCCCCCAACTCCGCACATAGCGGGAGCTTAGCATAGCAGGCTGTCCTCTTTTCGCATTTTTTCCCCATAAATAAATAAATTGTATGACCATCTCATCTAAGAGCCTAAGTCGCAGAGTGAGTTACTTTTTCATTTATTTAATTATATTCTCAACGTTCCCCTCACATATAATATTTGTATTGATTATTGAAATCTATTGACTGCAGTTGGAACAACAAAGGAAGCATATAGCTTCATTCATAGAATGCTACATGAAAGAATTTGGAGGTTCAAAGCAAGATGCATATGCTGAGGCTCAGAAGAAAATCACTAATGCATGGAAAGACATGAACAAGGACTTCCTTTGTTCTACTCATGACAAAGTACCAACNATATATTTGTTCTACTCATGACAAAGTACCAACGTTTGTCCTCGAACTAGTTATAAATATTGCGCGCCTGGCATATATTTTCGAAGAAAATGATTTTGCAAGTGCCCAAAGCGAATTTAAAGACAAGATTATGCTGTTGTTTGTTGAACCTGTCAATGTTTGAGGATAATTTGGAGCATAATCTAGTTTGAGAACATAGGAATAACAGAAGTACTTCTATTACTGATTAATGGTGAAAAATGATGTATTGATTTGTATACTATTAATGTTTGAGAATAAATTATCTTCAGCTTTATTAAGGAACACTACTAGAAAAGGGCTAATTTTCGACCATCAAAACGTTCGCAAATCGAACTTTTCCGACGGAATACAGACCGAAAAGAGACACTACTAGAAAAGGGCTAATTTCAATAAAGTGCAGCAATTAAGTCATATTGAAGCCTGTTTGCCTTTCTTTTATTTTTATCGGGCGAGCCAACCCAACCTTCGGACGAGGATGCTGAAAGAATATGGTTGGAGTCTGTTGGCGATCCAAAATGGGGGAAGGTATACGGGCTTCCTACTAAAAAATTCTATCGCCATAAGTGTGGAATGCAAGGAATAGGGACTTCCTCGTAAGGCGAGCAACTTAATAGGGAGAGCCTCTCCGCTATGCGGGAGATAGTGACAAAGCTCACATCCGAGCTAGAAGCGGCCAAGGAAAAAGAAAGTCTTAGAGATGCTCAATTCTTTGGCATGCAAGCTCATATCAGAATTCTCCTATCTACTTGAGCTTTTTTGTTGCCCCGGTCTCGTGAGTCATCGCCAGAGGGTCGACCTCCACGTGATCGTTCCTCCCATCCTACTCGTGATCGTTCCTCCCGTCCTCCCCGTGATCGTTCCTACCGTCCTCCACAAGACCGTTCTCTATACCGTCTTGTAAATGAAAGTTCATCAGACGGTGATAATGATGTTGTAGAAAATATCCCTTGACTTTTATATACTTTGAACTAGACAAATAGATCCAGTTTTGAACTTCTTGTAATTAGTTTTAACTTGATTTTGGATTGTTATGTTCAATTGAACATTAATTTGTTAGTTTTAAAGTATATATTGGATGTTTGGTTGTGTTGTTGTTGTTGTTGTTGTAATTCAGTTGTTAGGAGTATTGGTATGCTGGTAGGTGGTGTAGCTATCAAAATATGCATTTTATGCCAAAATTAAACCGAGAAAACCGACCAAAGTTGATCGGTTTTTAATAAAAAAAATTAATTACAAATTACCGACCAAAGTTGGTCGGTTAATGAATAAATATATATATATA